CACATCTGACTCATGCATGACTGGAAAATTAAAATGCAAATGGTGCTATTTCATCATAATTTTAATTTTTGCAGGATTTTTGCGCACATACTTTGGGAAGTAAATGGCAAAGTGGAGATTGTATTTTTTTTATCATTTTCATTTTAATCTTATTTTTTGCAGAAAATACCTTCCATACACATCTACTCCCTACAGACGGCATCCACACCAGACAGGTGTACCCTTGGTCAAACGGCAGAGTATAGGCTGCATAAGTCTTGCATTACTCAAAAAATAAAAAGCAAAAAGGAATTTCCACACTAACCTGACTGCAGACTGACGTGTCGGCTTCTGCTGTCATCTTCCTCCTCTTTCCCTGCACTTGGGAAGCCTTCAGAAATTAAAATCACATGTTGTCAGTTTTAGTCTCATGGAATGCATTGCAGTTCAGTTTTTCAGCAAGTCCCTTTACAAAATGGCACAGCTTAAAAAAAAAGCAGTAAAGGATCAATCACCTTTATGTTATGCAAGTACCTGTCCGTAAAACTGTGTCCCAGCATCCGAAACAACAAAAAATTTAAAGACATTTCTAGCATTAACGGACTAACGCCAAAGCTAAACACGGTCTGAAGGACAGGGAACATACAAATCCCGGGAAGTTGTAGTCAATTCCCTTCGCTGCAAGTCTCTTCCGCAGCTGTGCCTCTTTGTGCAGAAGGCGGCTGGTCATGTGCTCCACCTCCTCCGGCGTGTGCCTCTTATTATAGCGTCTGACGGCTGGCTGTTGTGGCTTACGGAACATACGCTGGGACCCAACAAACAGCCGGGCGTGGACCTTCTCGGGTGCGACAACCTCACCTGTCCAGACACAAGCGGTAAAACATGCCTGAAACGTACAGCACAAACTGATCTATATCTATACACAAATCCAACCCCCCCTAACAACAAAACCCAATAAACTTACATTTGATGAGTCTTTCCCCCATAAGGTAGTTGTTCATAGTTTCTGCAACAATCTTTGCCACTTCATCACATTCAAACTCTATAAAAGCATAACCTTTGCTTCCTCCTGTCTGCAATGCAGAAAGATTTAATGAATAGATTTTTTAAAGTTTTTAGTAATGTTAAACTTAAACAAAGAAGGAAACAAGACATCAGAATGTCTATAATGTAGAGTACATTTCATTAAATACTGCAGCCTGTTTTGCTGTAGGTACATGGGTTTAATCACTCCACTATGGAAGCGGGTGATGAGCTTAATGTACCAACTTCCTGTGGGCACAGTAATCTTACCCCAGATAACGGGTATACCGGGGGTAATTTTCAGACTGTGCCACCTTTAACTTAGTATCAACATAAAAAACACCAGAAAAGACGGCAGCCCATGTTACCTTTTTGCTCCTGGACAGTCGTAACCTGGTGATTGTCCCGAACTGCTCAAAGTAGCCTTTAAGCTGCGGTTCAAAGAGGCCTCTTGGTAGGTGACCAACGTAAATCACCCCTGATACCAGGGATTCGCGCTGAAATACATTAAATGCGCTATGTAATCTGCGGGATTACACTTTAAACAACGGCAGACATTACATCATATTTCATTTTTTTTTTCATTTTAGACAAAATTTTTACTTATTGGAGGGCTATATTAAGCAAAGTATATTTTTGCAGACGAAGTGGACTTGATATCAACGACCAACCAACATATAAAGAGTCAGTGTTCCTTTTTCGGCTGAAAACGGGTATTTTGCTACCGAACAGCGACCCCAATAAGAGATGTAAAGCAATATATAGCTTGAATCATATAAAAACTTCACATAAACCGCGTCTTTCGTGTGAAATATCCCGTTAAGATTCCCTCTATGACACGCGCCATGTGCATTAACTTACTTTTTTTGGTCTTTTCTTCACCTCCTGAACCTTCTTCTTAAATTCCACTTCCTGACTCGGATTCAGAGCTAGAAGGTTTTTCGCCGCATTTATTACGGCAGACTTATTCCCAGCCATTGAAGAATCCGGCTAACACATGCACTACAATACTTCGCAATCACGCACCTACCACCTCCCAACTAAGCACGTTGTCCAACACGCTAAAGCGGAAACCAACGATATAATCCCGGCGGCGCGAACGTGGTTTCCGGTTAGTGCGTGTCTCTGGAGCGACCCCTGTCGGTGGATGACTAACCGTGTTGAAACAGTGGCAGCATGGTTGCACCGGATTTCGATTTTGGATGTTAACGTGCACCGCAACACTCTTCTGGAGAAGTTTCTGGGGCAGATGAATAACGGATGGATAGACTGAAGGGTGGGTGACGTATTTAAAAAAATCCAAAATCTGAATCAAAATAATAAGTATCAAATGTCTCCAGTGTTTTATTTGGGAGATTAATTGAAGACTAAAACATACTCATCTAGGTAATTCAAAAATTCAATAAATTACTTGGAACGATATTGGCTAATGGCCAAACTCGTTTGTAAACTGTACATCCTCTTAAGAACGTTAGAGGGGGTGGGGGAGTTGGGGTAGTTGTCATTTAAATAGGCTAGACGTTTCAGGATCCTGGTAATTAACCTTCTCTAAACAGAGTGAATACAAGAAGAGCGGATTAAGGACTGTCTGCACACTGCCACAAATGACTACAAAAATAATTTACTCCACGAGAAATGGGAGACCCGAGCAAGCAGAGTTTTCTGCTGATTGCCCAGCTTGATGTCAAAGGTAGGCATACTGGTGGTCATAACTGAGTTATATAAACAATTCCATAAGTGGTAGTGACGTAATGTAACAGAGGTGTAACATTTACATTCATGTGTGTCAAGCTTAGGGTTATTAGTGATGTATAATATGTTACCTTAACTGTCAAGACAATATTTAACCAAATTAAATTAAATATCCTTTTGTGCATGGACTTATCAAAATTTTCCTCAACCGTTTTGATTATGAAAATATGTCATTAACTCCAGTATTTTAAGTAGCAGATGTCAATATTTTTCCGGGAACGTTGTTTTATTCATCCTGAACAATGATCGTTGCATTTCTTTTCCCCCAACGGTTTTAAAAGGTTTACACAGTTATAACTGTGATATGACTAAAGTTACGTTAAAACGATCGTATCCTTTCCAGTTCGAAATGAATACAGGAAACATCATACTTTTACCTTTACAATGCAGAATGCTCTGCTGGTTTTTCTTCTGTGACTGGATACATAATTCTTTATTGGGTATTTGATAAAAAGCTTCGCACTACTTTGGTCGTGTAGCATGATCTGTATCAAAGTAAGGAAAACGAACAATCGATGGATGAGTTTCATTCATGTAATAGACATGAAATGTTTTTCACTGTAGAGGATCCCTTTTCTTGTCCACTGAAGAATTCTGCTCTTTCTGTGAATAAATGCAAGTGGTTCAATTTGATTTAAATATCATTTCATTTTAATGAATCAGATAAGTACTAACTAAAAAAACATGGAATAAGTGGAAGAAAACATACACTTAACCCTAGGGTTTAAAAAGCGGCAAATCTCTTGCACAAGCTTGTTTTAAATAGTTTGGGCAAAAGTGCAAGTGCTCAGCCCCCCCAACACATACACACACGCAAGTGCCTAATGGATGGTCATAGGGTTGGTGTGAATAGAGTGCACTCTGTTAATGTGCACCAATTATTTAGCCTGCACTAAAATAAACATGCTGTCTCTTCATGTAAAATGTAACATAAGTCTCAGTAAAAGAGGGGTCGCTTCCCATGGGGATCCTGTAGCTTAGGGGCCCAGGGCTGTTCACAGCGTGTTTTCTCACCAAGACACTGTGCCTCAGAGACGACATGTGCCATCTTCAGCAATGTCACTCAAACATCCCACTAAGATAGCCCTGAATCTCTGCTCTAGCTCTGGCTCTTAAAGATGCAGGGAAGGGAAATTTATGGCTGGAAAAGAGGATTTATCACTGATGCGTGATTCCTGATTCCACTAAAGGATCATGGTACATTTCCAGAAAGTGGTGTAAAATGGTCACATTGTTAAATTCAAAACCAATGGATGCTGCAAACACTTGAAACGCAGAATGATCTGTCCGTGAGCCTCCCCGAGGAAGGTGGAAGGCTGAAGGCTGCCGTGAATCCTGCCATTACAGCAGAAAATGTGCTAACCTGTTCGACCGTTAAATTGTAGACTCTTAGCACTGATGCCTTTAAACAACACGGTATGCTTGCTGATGTACCTCTCTGCATAGGTATGTTTATAATTGTAACCCAGCTATTTTCCAACACATTTTATTTACCCAAGACTGTATAATGCAATGTATTTACAGGGCATTCTTCATGAATATTTTTAATAATCAACACAGCTTCTGATTTATAGGAAGTTAAAGTTATTTGCTTAGGAGCGCATTAAGCAAATTAGCAGAAAGAATGGCTGGCGGGCCGTGGCTGAACGTGAGCCCTTTGACTCCCCCCTATAGATGGGTGAGGAGGAGATCAGGTGTTTTGTACACAGAGGAGGGTACCCTGGAAATCAGATGAAGTCCCTATACATCCAGAGTGCACTGTCAGAATAAAGGTACCAATTTGTATGCTTGCTTGTCTCTTGGGCTTTAGCCCCAAGGGTCTGCCAATTGTACCCTTAGCTGTAGGTCATTGTGCCTTTAAAGGTGCAGAATTGGACTCTGAGGAACAACCCCAAGGTACAAATGACATTAATGTACCCTCAATGGTACAAAATAGTTCCTCATAGTCCATTTCTGTACCTTAAAAGGTACATTTACCTACAGCTAGGATACAATTGGCAGACCCATCAGGGTACAACCCCAGTGACAAGTAAAGGTAAAAATTGGTGCCCTTTTGTCTGACAGTGTGAATGTAATGAGCTTCTCTCCAGGTTACCAAGAGTCACCAGTGATGTGATTAGAATAATTACAATGCAAACAGCTATAATTAATTACCTTCACAGGAATACACAGAATTACCGCAAAGCTACTTAATACTGATAATAATGACCAGCAAATTTACGAAGTAAAGATTGCATGATACATATAATTAGGCTGTTACTTGTAAATATTCCTGTAATTTGCTGAAATTACTTGTCATGGGGGAGTGAGCATCACAACCGTTGAATGGCAGAGGGATCGTGTGTCATCTTGGCTGTAAATGAGGTTAATGGGGACGGAGGCACCAGCTTCCCTCTGCCTTTGATGCCGTAAATGTTTCAGATTTGGCACAGCAGTCATAGAGGAATAGCACCAGATCCTTTAGACAAGGTCAGATGGTGGTCACCATGAGAACCATGACTTCCATGGCCTTGCCTGATTGTTGGATGAAACATCTGTCTTCCAAGCCCAAAGTGGGCACAGGACAGTGCCTTCATTTGTGTGTGTGGGGGGAGGGGTTGGTTATGTCTAGATGGTTGCTCCTTTGCAGATGTTTGACAGATGGAAATAAGAATAACAGTCAAAATATTTTTTAAAAGGGTGGGAAGGATACACAAACATCGCTGAGTTTTTCTTCCAGGACGCTAAATCCACAGGCCCATTGTGGGTTTATAGGTGTGGCCTGTGTGTTTACTCACTTGCACACCTTTTCTGTCATCTTGTCTGTTTGTCTGGAACAGAACAGAAAACCTATTTTAAACCACGTAAAAATCATCTCCAGCATACGCTGGGCAGTACATCACCTACCAGCTCCCCCCTGACTCCACCTCCCTCTCCTGCTCTTAGACCTGTTCCAGGCAGCGGCAGATTCAGGACCCAATGACACTGAAGCTTTACAACCTCAAGGGCAGCATCATCAACATCTCCCCCCTGCTGGAGCTCAACAGCCTGCACTGCCACTACAAGCTGGAGGTGGTGGCTGCAGACTGTGACACTGAGCCTCTAGGTATCTCTCTTATGCCAGCAGGGCTAGCATACCTAGCTAGGCTAAGCTAACATTTACTCAACTACAAGCTGGAGTTACACTAAACTAAGCTAATGTTTACTCAGCTACAACCTGGAGGCGCTGAATGCCGACTGTAACAGTGAGCTTCTAGGTATTCACCACCATGATGAGAGGGCTGATTCCATACTACACTAAGCTAACTTTTACTCAATTACAAGCTGAAGTTACCGTAAACTAAGCTAAGTTAAACTAACGTTTACTCAACTACACGCTGGAGGCGTTGGCTGCGGACTGTAACAGCGAGCCATTAAGTATTCTCTACCATGGCTGGAGGGCTAGGATGCCATGTAAAGCTACTCTAAGCTAACATTTGCTCAGCTACAAGCTGGAGGCGGTGGCTGTGGACTGTAACAGTGACCTGCTAGGTATTCCCATCCATGGCAGGAGAGGCAGCGCTACGTCGCATTGCATCATGATGGGCTAATGTGTATTCAGCTTCAGAGAGAGTGCATTTAGTTTCAGCTAATGGTCACAATTCCTGGTGTCAGAGGTCACAAAAGTAAATGAATATATAAAAACCAATGAGATGTTATTATAGCCATTGTGAGAATGATTGCCAGGTACATAGTGTTATCATGAAAAGCTGTCTGTAGCTGAGGGCCCCTCTAATTAACGTACCTGCATTAGAACAGGCAAAGCAGACCCTGGAAGGGCAGATATGGTTATCACAGGGTATGGTGTTACAGGTGCCGAGCTGGCCACGGTCTTGGGCTTTGATCCCTCCTTCTTGGAGAAAAGGTGAGCCTCAATCATAGGAAAAGTATGAGAAATGTGTGCATTTAACATCTCAATCAGATAAAACATCAATAATTGAATCTTACTGAAGTTTGCCTAGATGGGCTTGATCAATGTTTGTTCGGTAGCCTTGTAGCCACGTACCCTACACTGCAGCCTAATGCTTGTAGTTTTTGCGGAGGTCCATGTCAGGCTACGACGTGGGATACACAGCAACGGTGCCTATTCCGTGCCAACAGCATAGGTTCTACGCGAAAGTATACATCAACCTTTACATGTACATATTAATTCTTTCCGCTAGCTGACCTAAAGCAAGTACCCACTTAGCCTTCGTGTATCAGGACATCAATCTCACCAGCTTCATGATTACCAAGGAAGCAGTGTAATGGACCTGTGTGCCTAGTGCCTGCTTTTAATGCCACAGCTCCTTGCAGGTGACAGTCAGCCTCAAAGCCCTCACCTTCAACTACTGGTGAGTTCCCATCCCCAGCAACTGTTACTGTGACACTGTCACACCCCTCCCAAATACGTGGCTCGGGCTGATATCACCTCCTCCCCCATCCTGACCAAAACACATTCAGGTTCCTGGTCACCAGCTGAATTAGAAGCCAAAGCCTTTTCCCATTACCATCGTTAGTCTCCTTGATAAGAACTTTAACAAACACACAGAAAGGCCACATGGTTGCACAGCAGGTTTGTTTAGCAGGCCTCAAGCTCCTCCCACCTGAGCTCCCCGAACTCTGATTGGTCATATCGTCATCATGACATCTTTCATGCTTCCTTACCTTCTCAGTTTCTTAGGCACATGGTCAGCGCTGCTTCTGTGCTTTGTTTAAGGGGGTTCACTGGATTTAAGGGCAGGGGGGCCGTCAGCTTCAAGCCTGAGTGCGAAACACAGGTAACGTCCACGACTGTGGCTTCAGCATGATTATGAGCCCGAGAGCAGCACCTTTGATGGGTGAAGGGCCGGAAATAATGTGTTCCTTTCATGTTAGCCGTAGGTCTCATATCAATATGAATAGACCTCTCTTTGTTGGCCATTATGAAATGGAAAGGAGGAAAACACTATAGACAAACAAGGAGAAAACATGACAAACAAGGAGAGCAGCAAAAGAAAGGACCGTAAAACATCCCCCTGACCAGACCTTTTATATTGATGTAGAGAATGCGCCAGTTATTTTCTTTCACAATTAAAAAACAAGACACGTTTATTAAAGAGGTTAAATTGGTTACCCTTGAAGCCTGTTGTGTTTTTGAATGTTTTTCTCCTTTTGTGAGGCCTACCAGACATGAAAAGAGAGTCACATTGCAGCTATGCAAGCAAAACATCACATATGGTCGCACTAGGCTGCGGAGGGTAAAGGGACAGCTTGGACATCTTGTGTCATATCTTAGCCTTAAATGGGGCATCTGTCTTTGACAGTTACCAGCTGTAAGTTCTGCCCTGCATAGTGAAAAGTTAGCTGGTGGGTAAAGGCTGTAACACCAGGAAATGACACCAGGACGATAGTGCAGCCTTCCGGTGACACAGTGCCGTTGTTTGCAGGCAGTGGGAGGACGCGGAGATCATGGTGCTGCTGCGGGTGATGTACAGCGACCAGGACTTCATCTCCATGTTCAACATGGAGCTGGAGGTCCTGCAGCAGCCTAATGTGATTTTGACCATCTAATTTTGATAGTGATATTTTATCCCAACCTCTCTTTCGTCACTATTGAAGTTAGGGTTTCTCACCTTATCATAGCTGACTGGGGATGGACATTGAGGTCGGACCACGTCTGCTTTATGATGATCACTACTCTGGACACAGGAATCAATTCAGGACCTCACCTCCTAGCCAAATAATCATTATGCTTGTATTATAATTACAGTTGTCAATACAACACTGAGTAAGGGATTTGCTGTATTATTTTAGTAATCAAGTTACTTAAATGTCAGGGTAACTGTCGGTTTCGGTTTAAGCATTATGGTGTAGAGATTGTCTGTGTTCAAATCTGTGTGGCACAGTTGGTTTTTCTTTATATTATAACAAGTAATATGCACAGATTGACTGCAGAAGGAGCCTGTGAAGTTGTGTGTACGTGTGATAAGGCAGATGCTGGTCACCCTGTAAGTTCTCCCGCTCCTGTCCCACCTCAGATGCATGGACTGATCTGGCTGATGGACCAGAGGAGTAAGATGGACGGTAGTGACCTGCTGACCATGCTCACCTTCACTGTCTGCCATGACCTGGAGCACATTGGCCACAACAATGCCTACCAGGTGAGCCAGGCCCAAGCTGGGCTCAGACACGTCTAACCCCTGTGAGCTCAGAGGAAGCTACTCAGCACGGATCTGTGCTGTGATTCAGCCTTCCCTGTCTTTCTGAATTTAAATAGCTGACACTCAAACACTATAGCATATTGATTTGTATGTTCTAATAGTTACCATGTATCAAGTAAAGCAAACTGCATAATATTCTTATAAATTTCCCAAAAACAGGCATATATTTACGCTTGTAGGAATTCATGAGTCATCCATCCGTCCATGATTACTTTTAATGACACCAACATCACGTGAAGTTTGAAGAGCATAATTTCTGGAAGCAGAAGGTGCACCACCGTGAGTCTTGGGGGGATTGCAATAAGCTTCCCGTCTTTCAGATCAACACCCGTACGGAGCTGGCTCTCAGGTACAGTGACATCTCTCCCCTGGAGAACCACCACTGTGCCGTGGCCTTTGAGATCCTGGAGAAGGTGAAATGACACTGTGTCATGTTCTGTGAATGTAGTGAACAGCACATCACAGCAGGACACATGCTTCAATACAGGGATAAAACTGACCTGTTTCGCTGTTTAAAAGATGACTAGATTAGTTCAAAGACTGAAGTTAATTATAATGGATTATATGCAAATAGACCATATTTGAATTGGTAGTAGTGAGAATAGTACAATTAAATGGAGTGTCTAATTTTCTGGCAATAACAATGAGAAATGATTTTGGTAAATTACTGAATTACATTTAGTTTGCACTTACCATGGCTTTTTATTTATACAGCCAGAAAGCAATATTTTCAGAAACATATCAACTGAGCAGTACAAAAGGATAAGACAAGGCATCATTCAGTTATTTTTTTTTCAATTTTTCTTTGAGTGCACTTCCTGCAGTAACTTCATAGTGGCTATTCAGAACAGTCACAGCAAGGCTGCCTAGCTGGAATTGAGATAAATTCACATTGTGCAGTTACCCTATAGCTGGGACTCCCTTAAGACTGGTTAGCAGCCTGTAAGGCTACCTGCTGCTTATACACTGAGGTGAAATCAGTCCTTTGATGTACAGTACCAGTCAAATGTTTTGGCACACCAAGCAGCTTTAAAGGATAGTGATAGTGTCACATGACCTAGTCACATGACCTAAACACATTAGAAATGGTTTTGGAGGAGTCTGACCAGAGTGTGAAGGAAAAGTGGCTAATGAATGCTCAGCATATGTGGGACCTCCTTCAGGACAGATGGAAATGAGTCCCAGGAGGCCACCGCATGAAACTGGCGCAGAAGAGACAGTAGCATCAACTAGTTCCTGGAGCAATTGAGCTTTAGGGCCTTGCTCAAGGACCCAGTGGTGGGTTTTACTTTGCTGACCCAAGGATTTGAACCAGCAACCTTCTGATTCCCAACCCACAGAGCTGCCCCTCCCCCCCCACCAACAAATTAATTTTTGTTTAATACTTTTTTGATCAGTGTGTATATGTTATTTTATAGTTTTGGTGTCTTTATAATTATTCTAAAATATAGAGAATAGTACAAATAAATCTTTGTATGGGTAGGCATGTCCAAACTTTTGAGTGGCCCAGTACATCCACCTGACTGCCATTTCAGGTGCATCTTGGCGACCGACAGGGTGAAGCACAACGAGATCCTGAACAAATTCAAGTTCCTCCTGCCTGCATTAGATTTCAACAACAAGATTAGCTGAACTGGAACTAGATACCATCTTCCCTGTTTTCCCCTTGATACACCTTCTTAAGAAGAATGAAGGGCGAGAGGGAACAAGACCATTGATGCAATACAGGTTATTTCCAAACTGACCACTAGATGGAACCATGTCAGTTGTATTCTGTGGAATAGCACATTACTTTGCCGTACTGTGAATGTTGTGTACATATCTGCTGCAGTGCAGACTGTTGCTGGCTTACAGTTTTCAGCCTGAGCATCTTCAGTTTTTCTGTCGTTTTCAGATGCCAGGTGACATATCTCAGTTGCCTGATGGCACTGACGTGATCACTACTTCTCATTTTTTTTTAATATCCCTTCCATCCTTCTTGGATCCATCCCTCGACATTCATGTGAATCTGTAACCTTTTCTCCTGATCTTCTCACCCCTCCGTGATGGAATAGTCATTCCAAATAGCACATACCCTTTTTTGCTTTTGTTATGTCAACAATTGACAATGATATTTGCTAAACTAGTCAACAATGCACTTTAATAACATGCTTACACTCAGTCAGCTTCCTGACTGCATTGAGGAATGTTTCTGCAATGTTTTCGTGTTTTATCAGTGAAGCATCATAGTCTGGCCATTATTTGCTCCTATAGGAGCATTTCTTCCAACAGTACAATTAGCTTTGACAAATTAATAGTAATTTATCCATCCATCCATTTTACCAGACCTGCTTTTCCTATATTACCAGCATTAATCTGTCTGTCACTGAACAGCTGAACTGTAATTTTGGTAATTCAGCTTTGGCTGCTGACTGATTTCTCATTACTGTAATAATTCATTTTAGTCTCCATCCTGTCTTGAGGGTGAATTTGTCAGCATGCATGGTGCTCACTGCTCAGCTACACTTTGCATTAGTCATCATGGGATTCTAATGGTCTTTTTCGGATGTTGCACTTAAATGCATTTAGATCAAGAAACACAATTACTCCCAGGTTTAGCAGCTGAGGGAAGCTCTCTGATGTTCATGGTGTATATGGTCCCAATCTTCACTAAAACTCCGTACTATGGCTGCCGTGAGCTTTGCACTCGAAGGCCTGTACAGTGGTCTGTAGGGGATACCCAGTGATGGCTGGGCATTGAGATGCCGGAGGCCTCTGCTTGCTCCCCGGAAGGTAGTAACCCAGACAATAGTTCAGGGCCTCACTGTAGTGACAATGTATCAGCTTACTGTATCATCTCTACAATCCCACTGGCAAAGATCAGCCAGTCCACATGACTGGGCTTAATTAGGTCATCCAATTATAAGCTCCAGTTCCTCTACTCTACTGTAATATTTTCTGAATGCCTCCAGTGCAATACTGCCTGTTATCACATTCACCTTGGAGGATGAAAACAAGGGTCTAAGGTCAACTGCAGTTATACCACAGCTGATAGGTATGCATCATCCATGTATGAAGACAGTAAAATCCATCCAACCAATTATCCAAACTGGTCTTGTGGGAATCCTGGAGCCTCGGCCGGGAAGCACTGGGCTCAAGGCAGCTGAACATCATAGATGTAATTCCAGTCCATTGCAGGGTATAGAAGTACAATGTAATTTTGAAAGAAAATGCATCAGCAGTAAATTTGCTCCCGCATGATGTCTGCTTCCTCCAAGAAGCTGGCTTCATACTTTTTTATAATGTCTCTTTCCACAGTGTCAAGGAGAAGCTGGAGGGGCTTCCTGTCACACCATTGGACAGGGACAAAGTGACCAAGCCATCCTCTCATATCAGCTTCATCCATTTCATCCTCTTCCCCCTCTTCACTGGACTGGCCAACCTCTCTGGAGGTTAGAGGGGCCCTTTCATCCACGGGGGCAGTGCAGTGCTGATAGTCTTCATGGTTTCTCACAGGCCTGTGTAAACACCATGAAGTCAGCAGTCACAGTTGAATGGGAAATGTTGGTTGAGTGCACTTATCCCATCACTAAGGCATACAGACTTGTGGGATGGGCAGTTGGTCATCTTTGACCGGACCTGAGTATTCGCTCCGTCTAGCCACTACATTTGTTTAGTGGTCAGTGAAATTAGTGACAGTGTTATGAAGGCAGTCATCATTGGAAAATGTGTTTTTCTTTGTTGGACCTTTTTGGGGGGTGGGTACACTACTCAGCCACCCTCACTGCTCTGACACATGTTCCCTAGCAACACATCATCCACCCAGTGCAGAAGGCCTTGGACTACTACACCGAGATGGAGAAGGGCCTGGAACAGGAGAGGCAGAACTGGGCCCAAAGGGGCAACAAGGCGGCCAAAGCTTAGGGGATGCTGAACACTCAGTCAGAACCACAGCTGAAGGCCAAGTGCTCCAGCTCCAAAGTGAGGGGTGGCCCCTGAACTGCTATACTGTGATGTCCTCCTTCTACAGACCTAAAGGCAATGCACGCTCTGCCAAGCACCCCATTGGATTACAACAAGATCATGCTGAAGATGTAAATATGATTAAATATGAATATCTGGGCTTTGCATTTTAATATCTGTTCCACTTTGAACAATGTTAATTACCCATAAGCCCCTCAGTTCATACTGTGATACAAAAGGGGGGAAAAAATCAAATAAACCTCATAAAACAGTTATGTGGTATTTGTTTTAAAGGCAGGCTATGTAGATATTAAAAGTTTAAACTAGAGAGCCCTGTACAGAAGTGAGCTTTATCACAACAAGAGGGGTAGCCAATATTATATATTCACCAGTGAGTGATTCAACCCCACAACTTAGTGTAAGTGATCATAATGGATTCGGTTTAACTGGTAAGCAAAGCCATAGTATGTATAAAACCAGTGGAATAAGAGAGTAGTTGAAACCAACTGTCCTGGTATTCTATTTGGGACTTCAGCTAGGAGTCAGACAGACGAAAGGGGTGCCAGTGAATGCCAGTGCCGGCTGTGTCAGGTATCCCTGTTCATTAATTAGACAGGCACTCGTTTGAGGTGACTAAGATTACTGATGTCTAAGCATCCCACCAGAAGAGATTAAAAGTAATTGATATGTTACATGGTCTGCATTTACAGAGTCTGGCCTACAGACTTGTTTGTACAGCCTTGCTAAGAAGTAGGAGGCTGTGGGGTCCCTAAGAGACCTTCCTGAGTGTAGCCCAGTTGCTGATGTCAGAAATGCTGATCACATGTGATCAATCATGAGCCAAGAAGGAAACATGCCTCTGTCCCATGGATGACAATATCTGTGCCCTGTTTCAAAAGCCACATCCATCCAGCTGAATCTGCACTTTTTCGCAGGTCCCAGTCATGTGACATTATACCACATGATGCAAAGTCTTCCAAGGAGGCACATTTCTCACAGATTGTTATGCCAAACACCATGTGACAGTATTTCCATGCTGCTCTATACCACAAACAGAAGCCCACAGTTTCCCCTCCACTGTCTATGCCTGTCTGCAATACCTACCAGTTTCATGGCTGAGCTTTGTTTATGCCCGTTCACCCTGAGAAGGTCTCACCGGTGGTGTAATTCCATACCTCCAATCAGGGACAACCCTAAAATGATGTCACCTCATGGTAGGGCAGGCAGTGACGCAGGATTCCAGAATATCCTACGATGACATCAGCAATGTCAAAATGAAAAGAAATAATGGCAAATGATGGCTGAAGCATTGCTGTCAATACGGCATCCTGGCATTTTAACGTTAATCACCATCAAGGAGATGGAAGCATTTAGCATAAAGACCCAGCTGTGTGAGTGAAACTCGCCTACATTTCAGAGGAGGAAGTAATACTGGTAAGACAGGCAGCTTATTGGAGGCATAGTGGCCACACAAAGGCCATGATGGGAGAAAGAGGCCTTATATGAAAAGCCTTAGACAACAGTATTTCACATTTGTGTTCTTTAAATTTACAATTCACAATATCTTACATGGAGGAAATATGAACTTTCTGTAAAATACAGGAAAATATATTTAGCAGTTTAAGATAGAGGGACATTTCAGATGCAGAGTTATTGACATTTATAAATATGTACAGAGTGAAAAGACTGCAGAAGGGCATATGTTTCTGGCCCGTCAGACACTGTGACTCAGCTCCAGGGCTGTGTCACAGTGATTTCCCTCTTTCAGGTAGACTGTGCTTGACACGGTACATAAATATTGCTATGAACCATCTATAGTGTTTGTGTAACACATGATGCCAAAGAACAACTGTAACAGAATAATGCATTCTTCAGTAGAGGTGAGGATGAGCTGCTGGGAATCAGGACCTCAGTACAGTGCTATCTTGCTATGATATGCTTGTTTTAAAGTGCCCAAAACAAAAATCCGCACTCATAACGTACAGAGACATTTAAGGTAAAACAAACGAGCGATCAAACGTACAGTGTTGTACAGTGTATGTTGCAAACTGATGATCCACTAAATGAAGACTGTCAGTGGAGTATGAAAACAGGTGACTTAGACTTCTCATAAAAAAAAAATGAAAAACACTCCATCAGTGTCAGAGACAGAGACATGTCAAAGACTGCACAGTAGGTCCTGGTCACATGGTGGACAGCACGCTGGCCGAGTTGACCTTGGGTCTGACGTGTAGCAGAGATATACACAGACTGCGTAGAAGCATGTACCATACATCACCACTGGGGGGCCTCAGCCCAGGTTATCTGTGAGTGCCGTATGCGGGAGTGGCTGCATTAAGCCTAACTAGCACTGAGCCTCGAATTTCCTGTAGTTGTTTGGCTTTACGACAACTTGCAGTTAAATAAAAAAAGAGTATGAGAAGTGCTGCCTGTCCAGCTTAATAGGGGAACATGGGCTGGTAAATCTCATGGTATATTTCATTCAACAAAGGAAAAAGAAAGAATCTGTTCTTTGTGAATAAGCTACATACAGTTTTACACTTGTTTGAGCATTCTCACTAACGTAGGTCTATTTTACAATCATGCTCTTCAACAGAAGTAACTTTTTGTGGCAGCAAATAATTCTCGGAATTGAGGCCAGCGGAGTCCCCTAACAGGTCTGCACGTCAGGGACACAGCACAATTCACTGAGGACTGCCATCTTCCTAGCATGGACAAGCTACAGCTAACCGGGTATTTTGAGGTTCCCCTCAGGCTCAGGAGCGGCTCTGTGCCGTGTTGATCATGATGTTTGGGAGCGCATTTCGCCTTTTCCTCCAGGGCCCCAAGTCACGAGCGTACCGCCGGATCTGCCGGAACCACTGCTGGGTACGGGCTTTGTCCACGGCGCGGAACACAAAGGCCTCGCGGGGGATGTCCAGCAGCTCGAAGGTGTCGTCACACTCGGGGTCCGAGGACACCACGCAGTTGCTGAGCCGGATAGGCTCCCGCAGCACGGCAAACTTGCCGCTGCTCTTGTCCTTGATTAGCACCAACACACCATCCCGCACAGGCTCCGGGGACTCCATGCCGTCAGGGGGCCCGTCGCCTGCCCTCTGCGTGTGCACCATCAGCAGGCTCTGCACGTTCTGGAACTTGAGGGCCCGGCTGCCCTTCTTCACCCACTGACCGTCGGCCGGCTGAGCCAGCTGCAGGGGCCCCTCCATGACAAAGCGTGTGCTCTCCCGCGTCCAACCCACCGTTCGCATGGATGCCTCGCGGATCTCGACATTGGCGGCCTCGCGATTGCGCCGGCTGTCCCGGCGGAAGGAGCGCAGAGACCAAGGGGTGCCCTCCTGCCTCGTCTTGGTGTTGATGTGCTCCAGGTGGGACTCCACATGGCTCTTGGCCTCACGCAGGCGCCCGCGGTCTGGGTGGCACTCGGCAGTGGCCTTGCTGATGCGACTCAGCAGCAGTGGGTACTTGGTGACGCGCTGCAGCGGGGCCATCAGGAAGGAACGCAGGTTCATGCGTCGCAGAGCCGTGTTGTCATTCTGCGAGACGTCTAGGAAGATCCTACAGAAGAACAGAAGACGTGAAGGGGAGTCTGCAGGGGGGCCAGCCACCCTGACATCAGAGTTCAGCTGAAGATGATCCTCTGCTTATAAATGAACTGAGAGGCTTGGCCTACTCCCTGGGGGGCCTGTAGATGGCACTCCGGGCCTCCTACCTGAGAAGCTCCTTTTCCTTCTCCAGGCTATTGAGCATGTTGACGGAGGCGGACTGTTGCAGGCAGTAGGTCTGGAAGGCAGGCAGCATGGTGACAAACTCCAAGAAGATCTCGCCTATGCAGACGGTCTGCAAGTCTTCATCACCCTGCACGCCAAGTCATCACACACACTCAGTCAGTCCTCAGATGGTCCATGCACCAGGCATTACCGTTACAGGGCAAAATACAGGATTATCATGCAACTGTGAGAAACAGCAGGGGAAGACACTCCACTCTGCCATTAACCCCATTGCTGATTTTATTTGGTAGGCTAGGCCGCATGTGTCAGCGAATGTGCTGCCCTCGGGGTTAGGGTCTGTGTTTTAGGGAATGTTCTGTCCTCGTGGTTAGGCTGCATGTTTCATGGAATATGCTGCTCTCTGGGTTAGGCTGTGTGTGTTTCATGGAATGTGCTGCCCTCATGGTTAGGCTGCGTGTTTCATAGAACGTGCTGCCCTCATGGTTAGGCTGCGTGTTTCATAGAACGTGCTGCCCTCAGGGTTAGGCTGTGTGTTTCATGGAATGTGCTACCCTTGGGTTTAAGGTCCGTGTTTTAGGAAATGTGCTACCTTTGGGGTTAGGGAG